GCCTTTTTTTGTCACTTCCGGTATTTCCAGGAATAGCAGAAGTGATAAAACGGGCCTAATTTTCAGCGGACTTTCTCTCAGAGGCTCGAGGGTAGCTTCGGCAGGCTTTGCAGGCCGAAAAATGGGCCTATTTTTGTCACTTTCGATATTTCCAGAAAGACACGAAGTGACAAAATGGGCCTATTTTTCGGCGGAGCTTCTGTCGGAGGTTCGAGGGTAGCTTCGGCAGGCTTTGTAGGCCGAAAAATGGGCCTGTTTTGTCATTTCCGGAAATACCCGAAGTGACCCAACGGGCCTATTTTTCATCCTGCAAAGCCTGAAGAGGCTTCCGTCGAGCCTCCGACAGGCCGAAAAAGCCGGGAGGCGCACGCAAGGAGCAGCGCAGGGAACCTGGCCTGGGGGCTCGCGGGCGCGCACCGATGGCTCCCGCGATCCTGCGCAGTGCCGTAGGTTTGCCAGCGCGGCCCTCGGACGCCGAGTCCTCGACGCGCAAGCCCCTCACCCCCCCGCCGCTAAGATCCTTTCCCGCCCTTTTGCAGAGCTCCCAGACGGCTCCTCGGCGTGGGAGGGCGGCGACGCCGCTCCGCCCAAGGCGGAGAAAGAGGAGAAAGCCGCGGCCAGCCACCCGCAGTCTGGCATCCCGGTCCGTGCGCCCGCCTTGGAGTGCCTGGCTGCCAAAATGTCCGGCGGCAGGACCAACCTGCCGATCCCCTGCCAGACTTTTCCGGCCTGTCACCGTAACGGAGGTGAGTGTGAGCCCCTGGGAGGCGGAGAATAGGTGGAGTAAGCGACTCCAAATTTCCGCTACCGATTCTCCAAAACCGGTGCGAACCGGCTGAATTCCCACCTCCGATACACACACCTGCACACCGTAGTCCTCGGCCTGGCTGGGGGCGGGGCGGTGGGGGCGCTGAAGAGGTGTCCAGTTACAAAGAGGTTTTACGGGGAAGGAGTAAGGTTGTAGGCAAAATACCACACCGATGCACAAACACACACACAAACACTGGCCGTTTCTGTCTCTTTACTCAAGCCAGCAGACCCTGAGAAAAACCCGGCTTTAGGCGGGAGCGAGATCGTTCCTTCCTGCTCCGCGTTGTAACCTTACGGGATGGGGAGGGGAGAGTCGGCTGAGTATGGAGAGGCAGGAGGACTTACAAGTGTTTTCCTCACTCAAACCCACCCAGATTTCACCGGCAGCTACCTCCTGGGCCGTTCGGCCTCCACCTCGGGCGTCCGACAGGCCGTGACCAACACGCAGAGGCTGTGTAGCCACTCCAGGGACGCAGGCAGCTCGGTAGGTAAGGGGGTGGCGGGAGGGGAGGGGGTAGCAGGAGGAGGGGGGGAGTCCCTGGGAGCGCTACGGCCGGGCCGCGTCCTACTACTCCAAGCCAAGGGCTCCGACGTCGAGGAGGACGAGCCGGTTTACATCGCGGTGGTGGAGGACGTATTTTCCGGGGCTCCGTCGCACGGCGTCGCCGATGACTCGGACGACTCGGACGAGAGCGAAGCCATTTGGGAAGAGATGAAGTTTGACAAGCCATCGTGTGTGTGTGTGTGTGTGTGTGTGTGTGTGTAAAACTCCACAGATACTTAAAGAGGGAGGCAAAATACTTACACGACGTAGATTATTACCTCAGGGAGGGAAATAATATCGAAAAGCGGGACATCCGATGTGGAAAAGGAAGAGTGAGGAGATCCTTGGGGTGCTGTTAGTTGGGAGGTTTCCTTGTAGACGTCTCTGGACCCAACTAGGTGACATCGTCAGTGCTAGAAGGGAGGAGGAGGAGGAGGAGGAGGAGGAGGAGGAGGAGGAAAATTAAAGGGTTGGGGCTCTCCGACCTTGGGGCTTTTTTTGCAGACCTTACTCAACTAGCGAACATCGTTAGTATAAATGATAATTGGTGAACATCATCGAACGTTGATGTCGTTCCCTAGTTGGGTCACGAAACGTCTGCAAGGGAAACAATGTCTGAAAACACCAGGGACTCCATAGTTCCCCTCCTCCTCCTCCTTTTCCTCCTCCTTCTCCTATACCTCTTCTTCCTCCTCTCCTCCTCCTCTCCTCCTCCT